ATAACCGACTGTGTTTAGACTGTTCCCCCCATTCCATGCAAGGCCACCTGGGTCGGCTGGAAGACTGTTTACTTAGCCTGGCAGGGCGAAGGACACTATCAGCTAACTCAGGACACACACACGCATACGCATACACTGATACACACTCATCCCCCTCCCTTTTCAAACGCCTTCGATGCTTGTTCCCTCCCGGGACAGATGGCGGGTCGATTGGACCAGCACAGACATGCTTCAGGACAGGTTTCACTGTCTACACCGGCTCTCTCTTACCCATACCCGCCCCTGTTGCTTGTCTTGTGTTTCTGTAGTGTATTGACAGTCATGTGCTTTTTGTGCCCAGGTGTTTTTTCTGTTCTCAAACTGTTCTCCCATTAGGAGCCCAGTCTGAGTGGAGTTTTTTTCTCCTCCTCTCACCTCATGCTGTGTATTTTCGTTGTTTTTCCTATCAGCCTACCTCTCTGACATGTCTTCCCAATGTGATGTTTGTGTAAAGTTTGGTCAGAAGGTAGCTTGCTGCCTGCTGTAACCTATAATTTCCTTCTGGATTAATAAAGTGTTCTGATTCTGATTCTGATAGACTTAGAGGTTGACACAGTTGGGTAGCACCGTCTTTAAGCAGCCTTGCAGACACACCATCTGGGCCATCAGCCTTCCCAGAGCATAGCCTTCCTAGCTGCAGTCTCATCCCTCTCACTGTGCAGATAAAGGAGGAGGCACAGGTGTAAGAGGGGAAGTAGCTGCCATAGTAGAAGTGCAAAGCGAGGTGGAGCTGTGGTGGAAAAGCACACTTGTGGAGGAGAATTAGGAAAAGAAGATGGAAGAAGAAGACAGCTCCCATAGCTAGAGCAAAGACTTTAGATTTTATCTAGAAAACCAAATGCTTTCATGACCGCTAATTCTGGTTGGGTTTTTGACCTAGAGCTGGATTCCAGTTTGACCAGTTAAATAAAACTGACTTTCTTATTAGCTTACCTGCTAACAGAGACAAATTGCTTGATGCCAACATAGCAATTAGCTGGCTAACCTTAGCTTGCTTGCTTGCTATGA